AGTTAAACACATTTGGACAGTGAAGGATTCTTGCTCAGAAAAAGGATCAACATGCTCTGAAGTCAGAGCACAAAAACCTTTTTTGTAACAAAATATCGATTTCTGCTGTCCCTGTATCGATACATTATTAGCAAACAAAATATCACGATACTACACAGTATCGATATTTTCCCCCACCCTTACCATATAACTACTGTGTGTTTATTTAAAAGACATTTTACACATTTAATCACAGCCTTCAGTAACCATCTTTTTTAAAGGTTGCTGATATCTGTGGCGCACACACACAGTCAGATTAGTCTTCTTACCTTGCAGGTTAACCCGTAATGATCACAGCTGTGATTCCATCAGAAGTGACTTCCAGGGTCGCCTTAAGTCTGTTTTTAAAAGAAAGTTAAGCAGCACAGAGCAGGCGATTAGGTCAGGAAGTCAGAGACAGCAACAGCATAAAGAATTTGATATATTTTCAAAATAAAAGATCCTTTGAAGACTAAACGCTTGTTTCTGAAACACTCCCACTGTGAAAGGTGGATCAAAACTTCACCAAAGAGAAGCAGCCGCTGTGTTTCAGGGTTAAGTTTACGCGCTCATTTTCTCAAACAAGGTGCTTCCCTGCACGAATAGCAGGACTGTACTTATGATGGCCCCCTACAACCAGCAGGTAACTACTACTGTACATCAATAAAATGAATATATCTAAACTGGGACGTGTTTCAGACTGGGTAAAAGTCAGCTAGAAAAAAGGGCCAACGGTCCAACTTTGAAGTTTGAGACATCAGAGCAGGTTACAGCCAATCTGCTGCAGTTTTCTAAAAATCGCACTCTTGGACTAAAACTGAATTTTCCAAACACAAATGCAGTTGTTTGGAGGCGTTATTACAGAAACTTTCCAGGTGTAACTCCCATTTCATGAAGTGTTACAGAAAAATATAGCCGACACAAACAGACCCAAGCTTTCAGTCACATCACATGATCTTTTTTTACAGGTGCTAAAATAAAAGGATCAAACACTCTGGACCAGCAAACAAAGGAAACACCCCAAACACTAAGACATTTAAGCTGTTTGTGGAGGGAAAATGCCAAAAGTTTGAACCTTTCACTTCACTTGGTGTGCGTTATTTTTATATATTACTGGTCAGCTGACCTCAAGAAGTTACGACAGAAGACACATTCAAAGCTGTTCATTTGCCTTTTTCGTTGAGTATGTGTTATACCTTTTGTGAAGGAGCTTTCCAAGGTGAAAAAGCTACAAATATTTAAAAAGACCCAAAAAACTTTAAAATACACATAACTTTGTGTAACAGGAATACAGATAATTAGCATTAATGGTCCCTGAATACTCAATGTAGGACTCTTTTAGTGGACTCTGGCCACACATTGGAAACCAATGAAATGTTACAGTCTTAACTGCGTTTGTGAAGTTTGTACTGAAATATGCATCAACACTAAATCAAGCATAAAACTCTTTTCGAGGCTAAAATGTGGCTTTTAAAGAGCCGGCCGTGTGTAATTAAATTGCCACAGAGCTCACTCGTTGCAGGAGCCGAAACCTTTCAAATGTTATTTTAAACTCATCCTGTCATAACTGTACTTTTTATGTTACAGGAGGTGAAAATCATTCAAATATGAACTGAGTTTGCTGCATAACACTGAAAAGAGATGCAACGAGCTGTGTTATGAAGCGTTTTAGTTTTTCTTCTTTTTAATTGAAATGCAGTGAAATCGCAGGTTTGCTGTGTTAATTTTTTTGCTTTTTTGTTCTTTGCTGTGGTGATTTCATTTTTTGCCTGCAACATTGCATTAAAGGGAAATGCCACTGATTCTTAGCGCTGCTGTTTTCTGTTCACATTTTTACTCTGTAAAGTGAGTGTGGATGAGTTTTTATACTGAAGGGGGTTTACAAGGTGCTTCATGTGTCATAGTTTTTTATTTTGCAAGTTTTTAAAAACATTTCTTTAATAAAAAAAATTAATTGAGAGCAACAAGCAGACAAAAGCCAACAAACAAGAAATCTCAGTTGACATAAGCTAAATATTGCATCTTTTCACAATAAAACGCTCCTGAGGTTCACGTTCTGTGAAATTATCTTTTATTCAAACGACAGGTGTAGTGTAAACATACATTTATGCTTTGCACTTAAATGCTGTAAAAACTACAAAGATAAATATAAAGTCGACATTTGGCTGCATTCACATAAAAAAGGTTGTTTCCCATTTTAAAAACAGCTTTTAACAGCCTGTTTACGGAGGCCTCGTGTGACATCTGGAGCTCGACTGGCTCATTCCTCCATCACCTCAGCAAACAGGACTAGCTGCCTCTGCTACTGGTCAAGCACTCTTCTGATACAAGCTGTGTTTCTAACTTTAGTCTGTAGCACCATGTTGGTGAAAGACGACAGGAGACGAGCTGCTGGCAACCCCACAGCAGGTGAAGCCAAAGTGGGCAGCTTTTGAAAAAAAATTTTTTCTTTCGGTTAGATGTTAATCAGGTAGAGCTCATAATATTTTCCTCCATCCAGCAGCTGCTCGTGACTGTTTGTGCACATTTTTACAGCAATAATAATGCATGTTATCAAAAATGGCTTTAAATCTAATGAAAACAGATTTATCTTGCAGCCAAACCCACCTACAGCAACCAGATGTTCTTTCTTTACTGATGATGGGTTTTTTAAACATCCATGCACATTTTTCTGCTGTTTTCTATGTGTAGTCCCATTGGAGCACTATTAATCTGAATTTGATCGTCCAAAAAATGTATTTGTGGATGAGGGTTATTGAGTCTGGCCTGTCTCATGTATCTTAACATTTTTGTATTGAAGGCACAAACGAGCATCAAGAAACAAAGAGACACAAAACAGGTTGTCAGAGGTAATACAATAAAACACAGTCAGTAGGTGACTATGTGGTAACGGTTATTTAACATCAGTGAAAGACAAAACAACAATACCAACAAAAAAGATGCATGTTTCCTCCCTTTTTTCCATCTGTAAGTCAAATTTTCAGGTTATTATCTAAATTGAAATTACAGTTCAGGTTGGGCTCAGACTCAAAACACTGAGAAAATTCTAAACTGACAACAAAAACACTTTGAACTCTAACCATAAACTGAAATTATGACTTACCGATGTGGAAAACAAGTTTTTTCAGTGGCAGGAACAAGCTTCCACACACCCAGCTTTTGGCATTTATAACAGGTGGGCCCTGTTAAATACTGCAGCACTGTAAGCACATTTCTGCTACTACGCTTACTGTTTTCTTTCTTATTATGTTTACATTTAACTCTTATTGCAAAAATTAATTTACTCTGGTGGGAGAGTGCAGATAATTTTTTACTTTAACAGTAAAAAAACAGTGAAAGTGAAAGTACAGATGCAGTGGCCTGGGTTCAAGTCTGACCTGTGGCCGTTTGTTGTGTGTCTCTCTGCTTTCTGTCTGTCTTCACTATTCAATAAAGGCAAAAATGGCAAATAATTTAAAAGTACAGATACTGGTGTTTCTGATCAACTGATACTGGTGTTTGTAAACTTTGTGTATTGTAGTGCTCTGCAGAGTTCACAGCACCGCAGGACAGTCCACCTTAACGGAGCTGAGACAGGTGACCTGGTTATGTCAGTTTTGAACCACGCTACATACAAGATGTGTGACGGGCTGATTTGGTTTATTTTAGTTTGTTATCCCAGCCAAGTCACCTGACATAAGATAAGATAAGATAACCTTTATTAGTCCCACACGCGGGAAATTTGTTTAAAGTTAAAGGTTCTGTCAGATCAGATTTTTGTTTTTAAAAGGCCGCAGACCATGAAATAAGTAAACATTTATCAGCCATCATTATCACTGAGCTAAATCCAAACAACAGCAACAAACGCGTTCTATAAAATCACATCTCTAATCATCGCATCATCTGTCTACTGTCACCCAGTCGTCCTGAGACCTGCAGCTGTTACTGGGCGGGATTTGAATGATGCCACCAATCAGGAAGAGAGTGAGTCACTAAGGCACCGGAGTTACTGGGCGGGATTTGTGCAGCTAATAGTTTATTTATTGACAAATATAGTCATATATGTTGGTGGGAGATAGGCCACGATAAACAGTGTTCAGGGCCCCGCCCCTCCCTGAGCCTGGTTCTGCTGGAGGTTTCTTCCTGTTAAAAGGAAGTTTTTCTT